TTTCTCCCACATACCCATACATCTCTTGACCTTGAGAAAACATTTCCTGATATCCAGGAACTTTTCCATTGTTCCTTGCGATGTTCCCCAAAGGACGCATAAGGCTTTCCTAGACCTCTGGACGCCCATATAAACTCCCCCCAACTAAGTGCTGGCAGATCAGAAGGGAGCTGCATTCACTGGGGACTGTGATTTGAACACTTGTTCCACAGACTTTTTGCTTTTCTAAAATTTTGGGGTGAAGAAAGGGCCTGAGAATCTTCCTAGATTGAGTGGAAGTTTTGTGCATGGAGTTCCTGCTCTGTCATCATAGCCATGTTGTGAATATAACATTGTCCCTAATGCTTTCTGGCTGAGGAGCTAACTGCTGCAATTAGAGTTACATTTTATGTGAACCCGGAGGAATTACATAACCCGTGGTAATTACCTTTCTCCTGTCAGCCAACTCCTTCTTCAAGTTCAGCATTCTTGAAGACACACAAATGCTGTGATCTGATACAATGTTATCACTTGCCAGCTCTAAACAAGTCATTTTTCCCACCGTATGTTCTTGAACATTCACTCTATGAGACGCCCCGTGAGAAAGGTTTGCTAAGACCAAGTGACTTTAGAAATTCTGGATAATGTAACCCCCTTTTGTAGACTTGTCTACACTTGCACATTAAATGACCCGAAAAGGGCTACCAAAAGTAAACGTTTCACGTGACTTATTCTGGCATTTGCCAAATTTATTTGACCACAATTCCCTTTTTCTTTTGTTAAAGCTAGTAAGATTCTGCAGAACTAGCAAATATTCCAGGAACCTCAGCTTGGACGACTGTTCTAAATACAGGAAACATAAGTAAATATTGTTCAGAGGTTAAAGTTTGTCTGGACTGCGGCCTTTAGTTTTTTGGTCACCCCCAAACGAGATTCTTTTCATCAGGTGTCTGCAAACCTTTTCTGTTAAGGGACATGCAGTAAATATTTTAGACTTTGTGCCATATATGGGTTCTGTCAAAGCTACTCAACTCTGACATTGTAGTGTGAAATTAGTCACAGGCAATATCTAAACAATTAGATATTTGGGTGGGTGTGGCTGTGTCCAATAAAACTTTATTTTAAAAAACAGGTGGCAGCCTCAGTCTGCGCCAGGGACTGCAGTTTGCAAGCCCCTGTTTAAGAGTGAGGCAAGCACCTCTTATTCACAATTCTGTGATCTGATACCTTGAAAGTACATGTAAGATGAAAAAGGTCGTGATGATTTTGTTCTAGAGCCAAGTTGGTCTACTTTAACCCTCAGGAGGCTGGAAGTTAATTCACTTAGGTCAGTATCTAAAATCCTTTTGGCGATCACAACCAAGATGAACTGGCATCCTCAGAGAAGATCCAGAACTTGTCTGCTCTTTGCAACTAAGAGAATGAGGTATAAGGTAATTGCCCCACTGCCTTGATATTTTGCTTTAATTCTTTCAAATGGCCAATTAGCAATTTCCAAGTAAAAAGAGAGGCAATTGACCAGCAGGACTCCCAACTTTCTTTTGGAGGTTAGGTAAAACAGGGTGGTGTTTAGGAAAGGAAATCTGCAATAAGTGCTAGAAAATACCAAACCTGTGGTCATTTTAAGTCAAGCCCTACTGCAAAATCAACAGTCTCCATTATGCACAAGGGACCACCCACCCGAGGAGCATCCAAAGATAATAATCTATGAGAAAGGAGACCACAAAAATGCGGATGCTGAATTTCTGGCAAGACCTGGTTCTTCATGTTTAAAGAAATGATTGTCCCTTAGATACCAAGGTCATTTCACTAGTTTTATGCTGGCAAGGTTTGTGTTTATTGATGCTTTATCTTTGTGTGACTCTGTTCTTAACCCTTTCCAGGGCAAGCATTTTGATTCCTCTGCAGTATCAAAGGAAAAATGTTAAGAGAGGGGAAAATGCTTTATAAAATGCCTCTAGACTAACAGAATGATAGAATTGTAATACTGAGAGCAGCCTAAAAATACCTAATTTAACTACAATAAAAGATCAACGAGGCATCTTGCCCAGGATGCCAAATGACTGGTGAGTAGGTATGAGAGCCAGGTTTCCTGAGTCATCATGAAGACTGTTCGTAGGACAGAGTTCTCAGAGCTGCCATCTTGTCCTAGAGCTTGTGAAGGTTCAGTTATCAGGTCCCTGGGGGGGTTTCTGTGCTTGGCATGGATGAAATGCATATATCCCAAGATGGGGAATATCATAGACTGCAAACACGTTGCTTCTACTTTGTTGTCGATGTGTGCATACTTGGAAAATAGTTAAGGCTTAAGGTGCTAGGATGCACACATTCTCCAGTAGCAGGGGCATTTTGGCTAAACCTAAACTGAGAAAGTATGTCTGTCTGTGCCTGCAAAACTAATGATCTATGAACCTCTAACATGAGTTGATGTACATGGTGGGAAGATGGTGTTGTTGAGAATTTGTAAAGACTAAGTTTTGATGCAGGTCCCTGGAGTAGTAACACGAAATGGAGAGGTTTGTATTTGTCTCCTACTTAGAGCACGGAGACTGATGTTTGGGCTTCCTCCAAGTAGAGGCCAAGAGGAACTTTTTCATGAAAGACTTATGAAATTTGGACTCCAAACAGTGCTAACTCAAGGTCCAGAATTGGGGAGAATTCTTTCATTTTACCTTCAGCATCATGAAAGTTCAAGGTACCCCGGTACAATTTGGCACCCTAATGGTTGTATGGGCCTCAGTAGCCCAGGGAGATGGCATGCAGGCTGGAAAGTTGTTTTTCATAGAGATGTTGGTACATTTGAAGTAGCCGCACAAGTAAGCTTGAGGCAGCAAGCATCTACAGTGTCTGGATTTGTCCCTGTGACCTTGTGAGAGAGACCTTGGGGACAGAGCATGAGGAGATTGGGAAAAGAAGTCTCTAAGGCCAGCCCCAGCTATACACACGAGGGTGATGAGCCAGCAACACTGGGATGTTAATATCAATGGGTCCTCACTTTTAGCTGTAGGCTATAGAAGTCTGGGAAAATTTCGGTTATACTTGGCAATATTAAGATATAAATTCCCCTTAGGAATTTTAAAGCACTTTTCTCAAATAAAATAGAAACTTTAACTTTCTACAAGTCATGATTCATGTACTGTTGTTAAGCAACCACCAAAATCCCTACTAAACTAAAACTGAAAAATCATCATGCAATCAGACTCAGGGAGGTGTGCTTTGTCTGCTCTCATGTTTTCGTTCAGTATAGCAAATATCCTGTGGTTAATGTCTTTCTCATTATTTACATTCTAAGTCCTTTCTTTTTCCCCAAAAAAGTTTTGTTCTAAAAGCAGCACTGTCTGTATATGGGGCTTATAGCACAGGAGATCTATTAAAATATAGAAAAATATAGTCTTGTCCAACCAATGCAAGAACATTAGGTTCTCCAACTCCAGCAATTCAGAACAGCATTCACTCTAAGTAGTATTTGCAAGTAAGTGATATTGTGTATTTTTCTTTTAATTGCAAGTGGCAGAGTCTTTTTGTAAGGTTAAACTTTGAAATACATCTTCTGTTAAATGCTCGAGAAAATTTCCTTCCAAAGGGAATAATCATGCTTTGCCCAGGTGGTGGGTCTCTCTGCCCACTAGACATTTTACATACCTACCTCTTTTCCCCTCTAGCTCAGTTCTCCACCTACTTGAAGTGGTTCTTCCTCCCTAAATCTTCATGATGCCCCTTGATCCACTTAAAGGTTACTGTGGCCACCCTTGGCCTTCCCTCCCAGATGAAGAATCTTCCCGGATAACTCTCTCTTTCGATATTTACATCTACAGCTCGTGCTTGGTAGAATGCGCATCCCGCCATTCACAACATGCCAAGCCCCTGGAGCCACATGTGATCAGGAGGCTGAGTGTATGTCTGTCATGTGACCGATCTGGGAAATCTAGCCCTGATGGCAGCCTTCCAGCAGCAGGGATGAACTTTCACATTTGAAGATCTGTTTTCAAAGGTGGAAGGCGTGGGTGTTCCAGCAACGCTACCACAATTCTCACACCCAAAGAAACCTGGGCTTAGTAATGAAAATGCCACACATTCCAAGGCCTGTCATCTTTCCTTAGCTTTGGGTTATGCAATTGCTGCTCAAGACTAACCTCAACCGTCCATTCCATCCAAATATGTCCTACTCATGGTCTTTTAAACAGCCACATGCATCTCCGCCTCCCCACATTTGGTTGTTGTCACTCTAGCTGAAATGTTCTTCCAAAGTTCTATGTACTTACCCACATTCCGTCCTCCTTGCCCTTCAAGCCCCAATCTCAGTTCTAGTTCCTTTGTAAGTCCTTTCCCACACATGCCACCCACAGGGGCCTCACCTTCCTGGAACCTCACCACACTTGCTGTCTGTCCCATGTGGAGTTTTCTAAGTTCTCATTTGCCCGATTACTTGTTTATTTTCCACTCTTGCACTTTCATTTGGCCTTTCTAGTGGTTATGGTTTATTTTCACAGCGAAGTTGTAAAAAAATTGGTTTATGTTATTCTTTTGGGTTTGGAAAGTGCCTTAAGATCTCATTTGGTTGATCAGAGCACTCAGTGATTTGGGGCACAGAGTAGATGGATGGTGAATATAATTTGAATGGCAGCCACTGTATTTCACACCGCCCAGCTGGAGGAGAAAAACTCCAGATGTTCCTTATGTAAAATTTTCCTGACTTCTTATAATTAACTACTACTTTAATATCATGTGCTGCAAATGGAACAAAGTCATTTGATCATAATCCACTAATTAATTCTTCCAGCAAACAGAGTGCCAAGTACTGTGTCATTACTGACTTGCAGAGTTTGGATGATGAGTCCTATTAGATTTGACTTCCTTTTTTTTTTTAAGATTTTATTTTTCCTTTTTCTCCCAAAGCCTCTGGGTACATAGTTGTGTATTTTTAGTTGTGGGTCCTTCTAGTTGTGGTATGTGGGATGCCGCCTCGGCATGGCCTGATGAGCAGTGTCATGTCCGCGCCCAGGACTGGAACTGGCGAAACCCTGGGCTGCCAAGCAGAGATCTTGAACTTAACCACTCGGCCACGGGGCCGGCCCCTAGATTTGACTTTCTAACTTTCACTTCTTTTAATCATGGGCAAGCTGCTTAACTTTGTGAAACTTCAGCTTCTCTCTCTTTCTCTCCCTCTCTCTTTCAATCTGTGTTTGTGTGTGTAGTGTGTGTCTTCATTAGGAAGTATGAATAATATAATATAAATTACAGTGCTTTAAAAAAATCATTTTACGAACAGTAAATATTTTTTTGAATCCATTTTCTCTACCAAGCTTTATGGAGACACAAAAATGAGAATTTCAAAATCTGTGAATTCAAGGAAATCCCTCATGAGGTAAGAATTTTTTATGTTTTCTTTCTTGTATTGTATTCTTATGTTTACTTGTCAGTGTTTTCATTATAATCTACGTGAATCAATGCTACTCCTTAATGCTATTATTACTTTACTTCTAGGATCACCAACTATTATTATTAACCTTTGTGTTTTAAAAATGTATGGGCCTGGTGGGAATAGGAATTTGTATTCCCTGTTTGTCAGTATCTCTGAAAGCATAGCTATGGCTTAATAATTCCATTTTTAGGTATACACTAGGCAGAAATGTACACATATGTTCACCAAAAGACATGTACTACAATGTTCATGGAAGCTTTATTTATAATACTCCCTACTGGAAATTACTCAAATACACATCAACAGTAGAATGGATAAACAAATTGTGGCATATTCACACAATAGACTACTGCATAGCACTGAGGATAAAGAAACGACATCAACACAGGCAGCAGAGATGAATCTCGCAGACATAGTGTTGAACAAAAGGAGGCAGACACAAAATAGCACTTAGTCTATGATTCCATTTATATAAAATACAAATACAGGCAAATTCACCCATGCTGCAAGACGTTACCCTCAGTGGGAAAGGGGGTGGTGATTGAAAAGGGCACAGGAAGGGCTTCTGGGATGCTGGCAATATTCTGTCTCCTAGTTTGGCTGCTGGTTACACAGGTGTGCTCAATTGTGCAAATTCACTGAGCAATGAATTTATGATGTGGGCACTTTCCTGTGTGTATATTACATTTAAATAAATTTTTGAAAATCTTTAAGTATGTCCTGATTACCGTTTGTTTTGGAAAAGCTCAGCACTGGTTGGCAGGACATCCAGCTCTCCGTCTCCTGCTCTCCTGCCCATGTTGGCATCTCAGTCACGGAAATAACTTTTGCTTCACCTACGTTTCCTTAAGACTCTTGACAGGAAGAAATGGCCCACGTCTCTCTCTAATTACCCCAGTAGATTATTTTGAATTCATTCCTTGGCTACTATTAGCATCTGTTTCAGGATTGCTTACTTTGTGCTTTATTTTTTTTTCTCTTCTCCATCTGCTCAGTTTTAAAAATGATTTCTCTTCTTCACTTGCTCCCATTTGTTTTTTATCCTTGACTATTGTCAAGATCCCTTTTTCCTTTTGTTTTACTTGAGTTTTTCTTTTCTTTAGATTGCCGCCTTTCCATTCTCAGTCATTTCCCTGGCAATCAAGAGTGTTCTAGAGATCTGCCTCATGAGTGGCACCGCCAAGTGCTGCATGTGGTCTATCCAGCATCTGAAGACTCTTGGCTGAAGGGGTGTGTTATCGCCTTGTCTAATGATGTACATAAAGTGCCATTTCTGCATTTCTGTGCTTGAGGTTTCTCTTTACCACACCTGGAGCCATTAGTATGGTGTGACCCACTTTGAAATCCTGCTTAGAGCTGTATTCATGGCCAGCATAGTGGTGGCCCAACACGCAGAGCCTCCTTCTCCCTGGAAAACAGATCCAGGCAGATGGTTACTTCTACTACTCTCTGCTTTAGTCTGATCTGTCTTTTATTGTCCCCTGATTATACCCTAGATCTGTCATGTTTTAGTCAATTAATGTAAAACATGGCAATCTCTCCATAATTAATCTAGTTATTATACCTCAATAAACAATTTTATTTCCATATAATAGACACAAAAATTTCTTCCTATAGTGACAGTAAGGGATTATAACCAATTGAATAAAATAATCTATGAACCCACAGAGATAATACATATGTATACACACACACACACATAAGTACATAAATGAATTAGAAAGGAAAGTTCTTTCTTTCAATAGGTCATCAATTAACAAATGTAAAACAAATAATGGAGGTAGAAAAATCAGCATTTCATACACATTATAGTAATAACTGATTCAGTCAAGACTCATCAATGGACGCTAAAGCTATTGGGCGAAAGTTCAACAGGAAAGAGGATATTAACATAATCTCAAAGTATTTCCCTACAGAAAACCTATCGGTAAGAGAAAAAAGTAACTTTATTATGGCAGACACCAATTTAACCAAGCAATCAACATTCACATGACCGATAATGGGGCAAATCCAAAGTGTGTGCTTGCTGGAGTGATATGCTGAGGACAGAACATCACTTGTGTCATATTCCTGCTGAAGACGCACAAACTGAATCTAATCATGAGTAGCATTTGATAAACCCAAATCGAGAAGATGCGTTGTTCTCAAAAAGTCAGTATCATAAAAGAAAAAGAAAGGTTGAGGAGCTTTTTCAGGTAAAAGGAAATATTTGTTGAAGTATTCTTAGGAAATCATCATGATAGGTGCAACTTGCCCTGAAATGGTTCAGGAAAAAGGTATAGATAGATAGATGATAGAGCAAATGTGGCAAAACAGTAACAGTTGGTGAATTCAAGGGAAGTTATACAAGAGTTCTTTGGAATACTCTTTCAACTCTTCATAAGGTTGTATTTCAAAAGAAAAAGCTAAAAATGAGAGTGTCCCATATTCTTTTGAATTTTTTTCTATACAATGAGGCAGGCATAAATTAAAAAAAAATCAATATTTCTTTGAATATATTAGAACCTATCTGATTCCCAAAGATAGCTCATAGTTTCTGTTCCTGACTTCGGACTGTCAGGCAGCACGTTGCTCTGAATCACCTCCACCGAGGTTATGATGAGTGAATGGCCCGTGATGAGATTCTAAAGTAGTCACTTTCTGATTGCCCTCTCTGGTTCTTCCAAGAATTCTCTGTCGTAGTCTTTGGCCTTACTGAATTATAACTAGGTTCTCCCTGCCCCTACCCCTGCCCCTCCCCACCCCCAGGCGTCCCCTCTGTGAGCTCTTCAGCACCATTCCATGATCCCCTCGCAAGTGTTCAGTGTCATCTTGAGGCCAGGCCACCTTGTCTCCTCTTGCTCCCTACAACTCCCCTCTGCTTTTGAAATTCATGTCATCTCAGGCTCCATATCCTGCATGCCCCTTACCCCACTCCTTTTCCTTTCTCATGGTGCCTCCAGCTTCTTCAACTTCCTGTTTTCTTCCACACTTAGCCCACCTTCTCAACTTCTGCTCATGTCTTTTCTCTGTTAGGAGGTCCCTAACCTCTATCCAGGACAGGTAGTACCATATTGACTACTTTTTTGTCAGTAAAGTAGAAAAGATAAAACATTAATGCCATACAACCAACAAACTTCAGATTTATATTATAATATATATGTAATACATATTTTATGTATAAATAAATTATGTGTAATTGTATATATGAGTGTGTATATATATACATATATATATATATATATATATCACTCACTTCAATTGATCTTCTAAGTGTAATTATTCTTGACAACATAGACAGTACTCAATAAGTTCTTTTTCCTTCCTTTCATATTAAAGTAGGTTGGGCTTAGCAACATACTATGAAATTTAGATGCAGTCTCTAATTTTATCCTTACGGTCTTATAAAGAGGAAGTAGTGTGTTTATGTTTCAGAAATCATCCTTGTGTGATTTTTGTTGGAAGGCTGCTCTAGGCCCCCCTCTGAGGTAGCTGAGAAGACCAGACATTTCTTCTCCCAGGACTCCAGAAGCTGGCCTGAAATGTGTGATCTGGGTGTGACCAATCAGATGCCTCTGACAAGAATTTGGCTTCTAGAACAAGCATCCCTGAAGAAGCAGGGATGGACAGAAATTCATTGTAGCGGCAGCAGTTAGTGTCCGGTGCTCGGGTGACACTGACTGGGCTCTAACCAGGCAGTCCCCTTGGCTCAATGTGTGTTCACACACACCTAGACTCCCTTGTCTTCTTTTTATTTCCCAACATAGGTCTCCAGACTCTCAGCTCATTCTGTGAGCTACCTTCCTTCCCGTAAATCAATTTTGGCCTCAGATCCTAAACTGTGCGTGTGTTGTTTGTTTGACAGGCCCAGTAGATGTGAATACTTCAATGAGGGATCTGATATTGGCAGATATAAATTACCCAACAGCCTACTTCAGGTACGTGGTTAGGCCAGAATTTAAATTCCAGTTCACTGGCTTCAAAACCAGTTCTTTTATTTTATAATATAAAGTCATTTTTAAAACATGTTTTTATTTTATTAATATTGTTAAATTTATGAGCCACTCCCCAATGTACTCAGTGGAGGAAGGGCAGTATCAGTGTTCTACAGCCCAAATCTAACAGCCGCATTCTTTTCTACTTCTCAGTCAACTCAACTGACCTCTTTTGGGATGTAAGTCATCGTGATTTCTCTTATGCTGGTAGAAAAAAATCATTCCCTTTGCTTTTCCTCCAGGGAACCTTGGAGCATGTTGCATGTTATTCTGTAGCCAACAAATCATTCTGCAAGAGGATAAAGAGGTTTCCTGGTGGAGTTTCTTTATTTGGCAGGCTTACCTTGATATTTTGACACTAATCTTTGTGAAGATGGTTTTTTTCCTCCCAATGCAGAAAATCAGTCATTAGCATCAGAAAAAAAAGAAAAATGTCTTACAATATGTTTGATCCAGGAACTGTGCTGTGTGTATTTTTCTTTTTGTGTGAGAGTTTGTGTAGGTGTTTTCTGGACCTTTGTGACATTCTTGTAACCTGCAGGATTGGAAATGCTGCTTCTGAAAGAAATGCACTGTGGAACCAGGAAGAATGCCCTATTCAGGTCTTAAGTGGCACCATCTGCGTGTCTCTTAAAATGTGGGCGCCTTGAAAAGCTTTGTCCCTGAGAGCACACTTGGCTTCCCACAAGCTGCCTAACCTTGGTGATGTTGTGCGAGAGGTTTTTCCTCATGCCCTCTGATGTGGACCTTTGAGAGGCTGACTTACAGAGGAGGCGAGTTTCACCCAGTTGCTGAAATCTTGGGAATAAGAATGTACTGCCCGATAAAGAAAGCAAAATCCCAGCTGTCAAAGCAAGATTTCCAAATTAAAGTGGACAGGGCCCTTATTCGTTTTCATATAAATAGGTCAAAATAATCACCAACAGGCTGGAAGTGCGCCTACATGGCCACAGCTGAGAATTTTTTTCATCTCTCTTGTCTTCCTTAGTCCTTTCAAATACGATGAGGGTCAGAGGCAGATGAGATGGAAAAGCTGAATGTTATTCTAAGAACCGTCCCAAATCTTCCAAGCTTGCTTCCACTACAGCATTACTCAAAATAGTTTTCATTTGTAATCTAAGACTTTTCAATAATAAATGTGTATTGAAACCAATTGTGTATCTCAGCCAAATCTGCCGAAGGAATATTTTAGACTTTATTTTAAAACGACGTATGCATACACATTAATAATACTTAATTATATTTTAGGTTCCTTTGTCTACTTCTGCCTTAAAAATACAATTTCTTATTAAAGTAGTTTAATAGCTCCTAAAATCTAAAAATCACAGATAATATATAATATTTATTGTACAAATTCCAATTTGTTAATCTGAAAATTTGTAGGTATTCCCAGAACATATTTAATACCACCAACTTTCTTAAAGGTAAATTCAGTAAACAGTATCTAACTGCCCTGAGTGAAGAAAACGAGTCACTTCCAACTTCTGACAAGATTCTTGGTAGAATTTACAAAGTTGTAAATCTTGGTCTTGTTACTAAGACATAATGAATTTCTTTTTTCCTGTGTCTGTTTTGGAATGATTCTTCCTTGATTAATCCCGAGAGCTTCAGGTCTCCCTGTTTGCACACCGGGTTGGAACCCCTCAGTTCTCACAGAATCAGCCTGCCCTCCCAGGCTGTGCTTCCCCAGGCACACGGTGTCTGTGTCATTCGTGCCTTTTGAAGCTTTGCACAGTGTTCAGTGTGATACTTAGCACACAGCAGGCACGCCACGTTGCCAATGACCAGCATGTACACACTTCCCACATCGACCGACAAAATAGAGAGAGTTGTCATATAGCTACTTTTTCTCTTCTTACTCAGCCTGGATATTTGCCTGACAACCTTGAATTTTCACTCCTAAATCTCTATCAACAGATTTCCTGCATTATAAGCTTTATTTTGGGTGAGGCACTAAGAACAACTCTACACCTCTGTCTTCTTGTTTGTAAACTGAGGGTGTTGTACAGAATGATTTCTAAGCACTCTGGTAGATTAAAATTCTAGAACTTTATCATATCTGATGACTTACAGCTATCTCAGCCTGGATATCCCATTGGCATGTTTAATCCATCAAATTCAAACCCTTTGCCTTCCAACATCTCATTCTTGTCCTTATTTTCTTTGAAGGAATTGAGAATTATTTCCTCTTCAAATCCCCCTTGTCCTAGGTGCTCATATCCAATAAGATGCATGGCCCTCGAGCTTCTAAGTGCACTGTCTTTCCAGTTATACACACTTCCTTCCTGCTAACACCGAGACTGTCTGATGCAAGACATTATGACTTTCAATAGACTATTAATTTTCCTGGCTATAGTTTCTCTTCCATCCAAACCTACCATATACATTGATTCCGGACCACATCTCCAAATGATTACATCATTTCCTCCTGTTAGTTTCTATTATCTACCTAATTAAGTCAATAAATATTTGTATCCACTATCCTTTGTCACAATATCCCAAACTACCCTTACAGGTATTTGCTCCTCTTTCCAATATGTTTCCTATGCTCCAGGCAAATGACACAAAACCAAATTTCCTTAGTCCAAGCTTTTGCCTATGTCATTTACTCCAAATAAAGCTTCTGTCATCTCTGCCTCTCAAATTTTGTCCATTTATAACTGTATCTCAATAGGCATCTTTTCTTTAAAAATTTCCTGATTCTTCCAATCAGATGTGATCATGATTTCCTTTTAATGCCACAGTATTTTATGCACTTCTTTTATCTTTATCTTCTATTATTATGGGAATTTATGTACTTATTTCTCTTATAAGCTTTTAAATAGCCTAAGTCCTGTTACTGTGTCTTATTCATCTTTTTATTTTTTGGGAGCTCTTTCTTAGTATCATGTACGTAGAAATTCAGGAAGGATTTGTTGAAGGAAATCGAATTTAAATTTGAAAGGTAATCTGAATGATTATTGGTTGCAAGTTACAGGAACTCACTTAAAATAGCTCAGGCAAAGAACTTTCTGAATAGGAATATGTCATAGATCCTGGGGGCAGACAAATTTCTCTGCTTCCAACAACATTTCATTATTTTTTCTCTCTCTCTCTTTATCTTTTCAGACTATCAGCTTCTCTGTGCCCACGGTGATACAGCCCAAGCGATGGCCTATTTGCTCAACCCTCTGGCAGAGACTACCTAGAGTCTCTGAGTCCCAAACCAAATTCTCAGAGAGAAACCTGATTAGCTCCTCAGTTCAGGTGTCTGTCGCTGGCCCAGTAAACTTTGAACAGGACAGATGGTCTTACTCAGCCAGCTGCCCTCTCCGTAAAGGCACCTGAAGCAAACTTGAGAAGGAGACAGAGATAGGGCAGTGGATCAATGTTACTTAGAGAAGGGGACACAGGCTGGCACACACTCTAAGAAGAATCAGTCTGGTGTTAAAGAATGTGAATTTGACCCTGTACGGATACAGGCTTTCATAATTATTCCAAACTTCACGCAGACCTGCAAAGAGATTGCAGTACCTATATCTTCCATATGACTTACTGGACCTTCTTATTCTATATGGTGCTTTGTATCATTGTCCCCAGTTATTTGTTGTATGTAAGTATTATGGGAGAGGCATGTCTCAAACAGTTAAAGTTGTGGCTATTTGTACATGGTACTGTCTGGAATCAAATAGATAAATAACCAATTAAGTTTTAGAGAGAACTGTAATATCAAAAGAGCCACCAACCTGGATTATAAAAGACTGTGACTGTTTGAGATTTAAAACAACTTTGCTGTCCCGAACTTCTATAGCAGAAAGCAGCCCAACAAAGCTATGTAGTCCCCCCGAAAGGCACATTGCTAACGTTGTCTTCATATGTGGACAAGGATGATCACGAGAAAGAAAGACCCTTTCAGAGAGTGGAGCCAAGACCCCCATGGGGTAGATGGTCTAGGGAAATCCTCCAAGGGAGCAGACAGGGCTTAATCAAGGAATATTTCCTGTGCCTAGGAAGGCCGCTCTTGCGAAGTTTGACTAGCAAAATTTCAGAGTTGCTGTAGGCCAGTGACTTCTATATGTCTCTTATTCTACGATGGGATTATTTATTGTGGTTGTCTTGTCCCTTATTTAACTATTGTGTATGTGTGACAAGGGAAGCAGGTAACTTATTTTAACTTCACAGCCTCTGGATCAAAAAGACCCCCATCTGGCCCTGATATACATAATATTATAAAATCTTGGACATGGAGCCTTTTGCTATGATTGAATTGGAGTGGATTCTGAAGTCTCTTTCTTGGAGAGGAGGAGAGTGTATTTTATTCAAGGAAGGGCCAGAAACAAAAATTTGTAACTAGAGGATAGTCATATAGGGTACGTTGTGTAAGGAAATCATGGTTCCTAATTATTTGCTGTGACTACATGTAAGAAGATAATTTCTCCCCACGTTTGACTATCAGGCTTGGCCATGTGACTTGTTTAAGTTAGTGAAGTGAGAGTGGGATCCACATAATTCACTGCTGTATAGAAGCTTTAAATAGTATCTCATGGATCTACCATTGCTCCTTTTTCTCTGGCACAAAGCTGAATGTCCCGGATAGAAGCTTCTTCTTCATGTCCTGAAATGAAGACACCGTGGAACATAACCATTGTCAATCTGCACAGGATAAGTAGTGAGAAACAAACATTAGTTGCCGTAAGCTATTAGGATTTGGGAATTTTTGTTATTACAGCATAAAAATTGATAGGTGCAACCTGGCATATGAAGTAGTTTATAAAATAGTTTATAAATGTGAAGTCTTTTTTAAATTTTCCACTTGAAAGAGTGCTAAAGATCTAAAACTTCTTAGAGGTAAAGTAATAAAGTCACTAAATATTTTTCTATTTCTTCCTCTTTTCTTCTTTGTTGCTTTCTTTTTCCCTCCCTCCCTCCTTTCCTTCCTTCCTTTTTTCGAGCATTGGTACCAGTTTTTTAAACAATCTCATTAAGAAGATCTCTATATAAATATCTGACAGTTGAACTGCTCTGGAAGGAGAGAAGGAGATTGGGGCAGTGAGGGCTCAACATTTCTCCCTTACCTCCTCACAGACCCCTCCCCGCACTCGATATGCTTGAGGTACAACTTTTAAGTCCCTTCAGGGTAGAGTGTAAAAGGGGTTTAAGGTCCAAAGAAGGAAAGTAACGTGCACACAGCCGCACAAATTTTTTGTGAGCCAGGTGGGAGGCCGTGAAGTGTACTGGACTTGGGAATAAGACAGACATTGGTTTGAATCTCTGCTCTGCTATGGATTAAATGTGACCTTGGGCTACCCCCCTTGACATTTCCAAGTGTCTGTTTTTTCATCTGTAAAATGGGGACAATAAAACCTGCCTCATAACAGCTGTGGAGAAGATTCAGGGCAGCAGTGTGTTTGCATGAAAAATATTATTATTATTTGCTCCTTGTGCTTGATGCTGTTTCCTTTCCAACACACAGTGCTTCACTAGAATTGTGTAAATTTTTATCAGAAAAAATATGTTTGAAATGGCTTGTTGCTCATCTTTATTTCATAGAGTGGACACTGGCTTGTCCATGGTCACATTGCTAGAACTAGAATGTGAGTCTTCTGTTCTCCATAGGTATCAAACTGCTGTTGAGTCTCTAAAGATCTCTGGGTTTAGAGATGCATGAAGCCTCATTGTAGTTTCTGAAAGCTCCTCCTTATGTTCGAGTGAGCAACTGGTGGGTTTCATTTTTCTTCATTCCTGGACTGAAATGTTTCCAGTTAGCCCAGAAGAACCCAACAAAGCATATCAGAAACTGAGAAACTATACTTTTGGGTTTAATCTGGAGTTGATTCTGAAGAACTATAAAATGCTAGCGTGAAAGAGCTATTTCCCCATTTCCCTGAACACTTTTTCTGCCTGAATGACAGACAGTTGGTGCTGTAAAATGAGGGGATTGAGACCACCCACTTAAAGAATAGCCACCACATTTCTTCTCTGGGAGAAGAGAAACGGATACGACTTTAACATCAAAGATTCTTCTAGAAGATGCAAGAAGGCCTGAGGAAGAAACCTGTCAAGCAATGCAGCTCTGCTTGTCAGTTTTATTAAAAGGGTGCCTGACTTGCATGACTCAGACTCCGGGTGTGTCTCTGAACTGCAAGTAACAGCAAGATTTTACTTCCAAGGCAGGAAGCAACAGCATTTGGGTGTGACCAATTAGGCATTACTTTGGCATTTCCCAACTTGCCATTTTGGTAAAGCCCTTTGGGGCTGAGAAGTTTACTCAGAATAAAACCACTTAAGTCACAAATTCTTTAGGGGATGCAGGCTCTGCCTGCTAGGTCTTAGGATTTTTCTCTCTACAAGACAGCGCAAAGCCCAGAAAGCCATGGAAGCACTGGGCTAAAGACTCTCTTGAAGACCTTCTATGTCCAAGTTTGTTTGTTCATGTAAAGAAGAAGATATCTACGTCTTTTCTTCTAGTTTCATTTCGGCCCATTGTAATACTGAAATGGGACTGAGAATCTGGAATGGAGATACATGCTCAATTGATTCTTTTGTTCCACTTTGTAGGCTGGCTGGGTTCCTGACAACTGGTCGGTGATTCTCCCCTAGAACGAGACGCCTTCCTGGCACTCCTGGGATAGGGTGGTGTGTGTGCACCTCTGGCTCTTAGAGCAAAGAGATGACCCTGGGCATGGGGGTAAGATGGCACAGGGAGATACAGGGTGGGGTGCCCAGGCTAATTTAGGTCAGGCAACTGAACTGGGAGAGTGGCATGATGTTCCTCTTTTCTGAGGCCTTGCTGGCATCTCTAGTGACAAATGGCTTCCCTGAGTTTAGCTGTTATCACACCTTTGTCCTCAATGAGTAAGGAGAGTTTGTTTAGAGTTCCAAGCTATGGCAAAGAGATGTGAATGGACAGCTCAAAGGAAGTAACTGTTGCCAAGTTCTGCATTACGAGCAGGTATCAGTGCTTCCAGAGAAAGCCTAATGATAAGTTTGGAGGAATTTCAGTACTCTTTTGTTTAGCTCTGCTATTTAATAACTCAGTAAGGCTTTGTCTTCTCTTTGGGAAAAAATGGAAAATATTCATACCTCATTACTGATTCTATCTGATAGACAGTGGATGTTTAATAATTATTAGTTCCCTTCACACTCCTTAAATGATTGAAATGATCATCGAAGACTCAGCTTAGCAGATTTTAGAAGGTAACCCATAATCGTTTATTTTTAGATTGCCTTTCTCTTTTTATTGTCTTTGTCTTTTTTTGCTTTGGCATTATTTTATAATATACTTATAATCTACTTTATATGCTTTAGAAATATTCTTTCATATAGCATAATTTGCTGTTATAATATTCTACAGTTCCACTGTCCAGCAGTTCTAGTCTGAGCGCATTGATACCCACAGTCCAGAGGATGTGAACATTCTGGCTCCTTTACCTGGAGGTCTGTCTGTGTTGTATCAAATGCTGCAGGGCTGTGGGGCTGAGGCAGCTGCAGAGTTAGCGTGCTAGACGACATAGTGGAAGATGATAGGGATTGTGAGCCATGTGGTATTGCCCACAGCCCAGAGTTTCACTGAAACTGAGTTTCTCAGCATGGGGACTTCAGAACAACAACAGAAGCCCTTATGCTTATTTCTTTTAAATATCAGTTCCATGGACATGTTAAATTAAAATAGTCTACTTGGATGAATCCTGGGAATCTGATTTTTTTTCTTTGTAACAACTAATGGGATTCTTGTGAATAAAGTTTGATAAAGAGTACCTACATCATATTGACATAAGAAATGAAGATCTATTTGTTAATTTTCTAAATTACTGGGTTGCCTGCCATTGGCTAACAGAATAGTGTAGTACTGGAATCTCCAAGTAAAGGGGGGTTATGCCAGAGAAGGAATAAGAATTCCAACTGGTAAACAGATACATTTCCCTTGCATTTCAAATTTGTTCAAGGATTTTGGAAAAAAGTAAAAGAATTTACGATGGCATTTTATATTTTTAAAAATGAACATATTATGGAGCAGAATATATGATTCACATAATTTAAATAAAAATGACTTCAAAGAAATATGAAGCTAGTGGCAAGCTTTTTGAGACCTCTCCCCAGACATCCTGGGGTAGTCACTCACCCTCCCCTCCTTAGGGACACTTTGCAGGCAATGAGCAAAATCCACTGTTGTGGGGGGTTAGGACGACAGCATCAGGAGAAATCTCAGCAACTGATCTTTTGAAATATACAGTAAAATTTGTATTTGTGGAAACACTCAGTTTTTCTATATCCCTCATTTTTTTAGAAAAGCAAATATTAGTTACCTAAATCAATAACAGACTTTTTTCAATTTAGAGTATGACTGGGAGACGCTGAGAGTCAATCCAGTATCATCTGCCTTCTATACCTATAGCATTTCCCAAAGGTAACTGAGCCTCCTGCAGATGACTCTGAAGATGTGCAAAGTTCTCAGTTATTTTATTTTATTTTTGTGTGTGAGGAAGATTGGCCCCGAGCTAACATCTGTTCCCAATCTCCCTCTTTTTGCTTGAGGAAGATCATCACTGAACTAACATCTGTGCCAATCTTCCTCTATTTTATGCGGGATGCTGCCACAGTGTGTGGCTTGATGAGTGCTGCTAGGTCTGTGCCCAGGATCCAAACCTGCGAACCCTGGGCCATCAAAGCGGAGCAGGCGAACTTAACCACCATGCCACCGGGCCTCCCCTTCTCTTGGACTGTTAATCCTTCACCAAGTTTTTGCAGTCTACAAAGTCACTTTAAATGATCCCCATTGGTTTTGAAGAGATTGGTTCAAAATGCAAATCTGATGTCTTTCCACTTTCTTTCACAGTTTCTGTCACCCACACAGAACAAGCAGACCACATTTTATTGCCTACGTGCTATGGCTCTGTGCTTACCCTCTAGGTTCACTTTCATGAATGTCCCATATGTCTCCTTTGTTCTAACAGTGCCAGACCATTTGTAGAGCCTGTGATATGCCGTGTGCTTCCACGCCTTTTTACCCCTGCACGTGCTGTTCCTCACCTGGTGTATGTATGTTTCTCATTGATAAAATCAACTTAAATTGCCTTCTCTCTGAAGCCTGTTTTAATGCCATCCTTCTATCCCCGGCTATTAGTAGTAGCTCCTGCTATCTTGTCCCCAGAACACCATGAAAACAACTATTTCACAGAAATAAATACTCTGTTTTCTATGTATTTCTTACTATGTAATGCCTATGCTGCTGAAAGTTTCTTGAAGGCATTGTCACATAGACTTCACTTTTCTATCTTTAACAGTGAGCCCAGAGATTAGCACTTAATAGATGCCAAAAACATATTGATTTAAGAAAAATTGAAATATACTAATTATTTTACATCTACATATATAAGGAAATAGAATTTCACATTGTTAAAATTGCTGACAGACATGGTCTTTGGGAAACAGAACAACTTAGGTTTTAATTTTACATTTTCTGAATGCTAGGATTTGAGAAACAACCTTTCTGAGTCTGTCTTCTCATCTATAAAAAATTTAAAAATAATACATATTTCATAGGCTTATAGTGAAGATAACATACTTTAAAAAATTTAGCATAAGATTTGCTACAGTAGTCAATAAATATTAGTTTCTTTCCTTCCCCTCTCCAAAGACTTGAATAAAAAAGTGTTTTTTGTTTGTTTAATCCCAACTCAACCAGAAAAGTAAATTAAGTGGAACCCAAACCCCCAATTCTCTAAGCGTTGTGGTTAATTGTTACTGCTGTGTATGTCCTGATAAACAAGGCCAAGGGTCTGTTTGTGCTGATGCAGAGTTGGAACTGCTAAGTACCAGACCAAAGATCTTTATGATACATGGGAGCATTCTTATCCGTTGTCCAGCAAACTTCCCATATTTTCCCTCATCTGACCCAAATCCCAGAGCTCACAAGATAGGTACAATAATTAAGCCTGTCGAAAATCTGTAATATTTCAACTGTGTCCGTGTAAAAACGACTTTGCACAGCTGGCTTGGTAACAGTGATACACTGGGAAATTTCTTCATCCAGCATGTTTCCAAGCCCACTTCCACCCGTGGGGACAGGAAGAACCAGTCAGAACGGAATCCCATTAATCTTGACCATGTGGGAACACCAAGCAGTTCAGAAGTTGGAAATTCTCCACATACAGGCACTGAAATTGTTTTTCTTACGGGTTAGCATTGGCTGTGTTTTGGTCTGTTGCATTTTTAAACAGAGAGACTTTATTTTTCAAAAGGATACATGAATTTCCAAGGGTTCTCTGACCGTGTCAGTCTCTTGATGAGGTTGGAAACTTGTGTGAGAACTTTAGACAAGTAAGACCCACTGGAAATGGGAGCTCTGGGCTCTGAGCCTTCGTTGGAAAGCTAAACACTAAGGTCATTATGCATCTAGTGAAAAGTGACTCGGTAAGATTGTTTGGAGGTAATGGGCTTTTATTTCAAAGAAAAGAACTGGGAAAATTTTTGCAAATGAGGATTAGGAACAATCTAGATAAACTGTAAAGAGTATAAACTGTGAAAGAACTTGCTGAGCTGAGGTTTAACTAGAGGAAGTGAAGGCGGTGGAAATAGGAAGATGATCAAAAAAGATATATTGACTTGCCATTCTACCTCAAAGGTTGTAAGCTTGATGTTTGGGCATTATGGCCTTCTGGACCCAGGGAGTTGCTCACAATTTTCTCATGGATCAGTTAAGTAAATACCAACTGTCACTATTTAGCCTTATGAACGTGAACTATGATTGTAGAGTTCCAGGGAGTGACAGAGGTGTGGTCAAATGCCAGAAACTTCAGTGTGTACTGCGAGCTGATTCCTCATAATGCAAGAGAAGTTGAGGCTTCATTTCAAAGACCCTTTTCACAGGGGCTGATACAAGATATAAGAGAACTTCCCCTCCAGTTGTGCATGTTCAACCACAAGTGAGAAAAGTGCTGCCAACTTGATTTATTCCTTAAGGTAGAACCAAAGTGACTTCTTGACCACATAACCTTGTCAGGCATTGTAGGCTTTATTTATTTACTTTTTTGATGGTGATGATGCCTTCTACAAGGAACTAAGAAGTGCTTCCTGTAGGGAAAGTTTCATGTTTGTCTTTCCAATAATTCTTTTTGAGTTCAAATGTCATAATTAAACGTTGGGAAGAGGAGGAAAAAGGGTTGAACCAGCTTGAAAATTCTCTGCTGCTTTGACAGCTGGCGTTAGGAAAGGTTTCACTCCCAAATGATTGCTTAGGTGCGGTGTCCCTGGTAACATAAACGCTGTCAGTTCCATTTTATCAGACTGTAGAATTTCCCTATCTCTTCAATTTACATTTGTAGCTGCTTTACATTCATAAAATCTCTGTAACTAAGCACTGAACGGAGGCAAAAGGGACGGCTTCTATGTACGCCCTTTCCTATACCCTCTCCAGTGACAGGGAAATTCCCTCTGTACTTGTTTATTTTTATTATAAAATTATAATACATGTACAGAATAAAAAATTAAATATCAAAAATGTATTAAAATTAAAAATTAAAAAATTAAATCTCCTCTTTCCACCAACCATAGCCTTACTTGCAAGAGGCAACAATTTTTACTCTTTCTAATGTTGTTTTCTATGGTCATGTTCCCAACACCAAATTACATGTTTGAAATTTGACTTGTTAATTCGTCAGTTTTAGACTTTATTTACTCCCGAATGTGAAAGATGGAGAATTTAGCCCTATTTCTATCTCTTCTTTCATTCTCCGTCAGTTGTTAATTTTTTTCCTGTTCTTCTAAGGGTTAACTCTACAACTGTGAAACAATACATGTAAATATGTTTCTTGACCCATCAACTTTAGACAGAATCCATTGATTTCACATTGTCTTAGATGAGGAAATAAATGCATCAGAATCTTCTTCTATTCCTCCACCTCTCCCTCCCAACCTTGGTTGGTTGTATCTTTACTTTTCCATTCCCAAAATATATTTCATGCATTCTTCTCTGTAACTGTAATGAAGTTTTCTACTTTAAATTGATTGAAAACCAATAAGCAATATTTACAATATGTTTGTATTGCAAGAACCAAATAGTGTGATTGTGCTCATAGAGAAAGAATATAATCCCGTGTTATTAAGCTCTTCATTTGAATGACAATATTCCAAACTTCAAAGTCAAATGGAGAATTTCTTGCTCTACTATCCAATTACTCCCTAATTGGTGTAAAGTTGAGCCAAATTTTATTTAACTTCATATTTGGGCCGTACTTTTCTTGCACAACTTTTTGGGTTTTTTTTTGTAGGGGACATGAGGAAGAATAATTTGCTCAAGCTATTCCATAGATACTTCATTAGCAATTGCCCTGATTACAGCCTACTCTTGCTTTCTGGCTTTGGCATCAGCTGGACCTGCTGGGCACCACTAAAGAAAACTAGCTGCCCTGTCCAGTGTCACAGACTCCTGTGCATCTTCAGAATATAGCCTTCTCTGTTGGGGTCTATTCATCAATATGATTCCATTTATGTTCTTTCTTCTAGGAACTTACCAAAATTTCTAATCTATTGATGGCTATTGTATCAGTCTAGGTTCTCTAGAGAAACAGAACCAATAGGATATCTATATCTCTATGTGTATCTATTCCTATCCCTATATTTCTCTTTCTTTCTTTCATTCCTTCCTTCCTTCTTTCTTTAGTTCCTTCCTTCCTTCTTTCTTTCTTTCTTTTAAGGAATTGGCTCATGTGGTTAGGGAGGCTGAGAAGTCCCAAGATCTGTAGTTGGGCAAACTGGAGACGCAAAAGAACCAATGATGTAAGTTTCAGCTCAATCCAAAGGCCTGAGAACCAGGAGAGCTGATAATGTAAGTTTCAGTGCAAGTTCAAAGGCAGGAGAAGACTTATGTCCCAGTTTGGAGACAGTCAAGCAGAGAGAGGGAATTCTCTCTGACTCATTCTTTTGCTCTATTCAAGCCTTCAACGGATTGGATGAGGACCACTCACATTAAGGGCAATCTTCTTTACTCAGTCTCCCAATTCAAATGTTAATCTCATCCAAAACCGCATGCATAGATACACCCAGAATAACGTTTAGCCAAATATCTGGGCGCCTCATGGCCCAGTCATGTTGACACATAAAATTAACCGTCACAGATCCCTTTCTCAATTTCAGTTCCATTACATCTTTTATGACATTTCCACGAGATTTTGGAGGAGAGATAAACAAGGCCCATCCCTTCGAACCAGAATTATTGCTTGCTTCCCGGTGCCAGGGTGGTAACTAATGTGGTTATTTATTCTTCAGAACAATGTCTGCTGGAGTTCAGCCCATTCTGTCTTCCCTTTCGTGCCCTCCCCTGTACTGAAGTGTCTGGACGCCTAGAAACTGCATTGCCCTAACTCTGTTGCTGACAGATTTCTATTAAGTTTTGCCATCAGGAAGTATTTCAGTGCCATTGCAAGGACAGCTAAGGGGGAATCCAGCAGGAGCTGTGGCCAAATGTACAGGTGACTGTAGGTGACAGTGA